GACTCTTTTTTTGTCATCTAGTTCTATTTAAATTTTATAATTTACAATTTAGTTACATATATCTTATTTAATAAAATTATTTTTATAGAGTATCGCAGAAAGTGACTCATCAGATATCATCATGTTTATTTTTTTTTATTTTTGTAATAATTATGTTTTCTTATCTAATAATAAAGTTGTCGTTAAAAATAAAAAAAAAAAACTTTATGTATTTATAACACATGAAATTTATGAGGAAAAAATTACATAATTAATTTAGAGAAAAAAATAAAATAAAAAAAAAGTTGAACTTGAAATTTTGATATTTAAAATATACACTTTTAATTGAATCGGCATAGGGAATTTTTATATAAAAAAAAAGTTCACATGCCATTTTGGTTTTACTAGACATTTCCAATTCGGTAAAAGGTTTAACTTTTAAAAACCTTATTTTAAATAAAAAGTTAAATTAAAAACCTTTTAAGATTTTATTATTCTCCGTACGATTTGAACTTGCGGTTTTATCGCATCCGGAAACTGCACATTGGGTAATAAATGTAAACTAGAATGAGGACGAAGAACAAAGATCAAAGACAAACCGGAGAGAAAACCCAATAGCCTGCAACTTTACAAACTGCACCAAGCATAACAGCTCCAAAACTCTTCATCCCAAATTCAATCCCCCGCCACCATGAGACGCTCCTGGCCACGCGATGGCAGTCGCGTGGAGGTCAGTGCTGCCCGTCATCCTCTTCTTTGCCCTCCTCGCCTTCGAAGACTGGATATCGCATCCTTACTGCAAGACCATGCCAGGCAGGGATCCCGACGATCATGTTGGTCCCGAGCAGGAATCAGAGGATGATTTGAAGGTGATGCTAGTCGCCAATCTACTGTTATTCGGTTCGGAGGCTGGTTTTGTCAACCTCTACTTCAGGGATTATTACATGTCCAAGTTCTTCAAGGTCAGTGGCTTCTTTCTCGGTCTGCTGTTGAATGTTTCCTCTAATGCTAGAAAATTGATTGTTATGAAGGATGAGAGGAAAATCATCTGCTGCATTGACTTTTTTTTTTTTTTGTCTCTTTCTGATTTTTTAAACGATTGAGTGGAAATTACCTGTATTAAAATGAAGAATACACCGAGCAGGAACTCGTTTTAACTTCTTTGCAGGGCTAAGAATCGTTCGAACTTCTGTTGTAATTAATAATCCGATTCAAACTTGTTTAGGATCTCAATAACTCAATCGAAATTGTTTGAGAAATTGATAACTTACTTAATGTTGTTCAGGATAATCAAATTCTAGGAAACAGCCAAATTATTGGCTCGTAAGAATGCTTTTCATATTCTAGGACTTTTGGATGTTAACACAATGCTAACCTTGGAAGTTTGGAACACTTTGTCTTGTCAAGTAATGCAATGATATTCTTCTCGTCTTTATCAAATATGAAGTTCTGTTGTTTCTGAAGTAGGAAACTTTCAATATCATTAAGCCTGATTTGCTGCTTGTCTTAGGAGATGTTTCTGCAATCATATTCTTCTTGTCCTTTAACCAAATAAAAATCTGTTGTTTTTGAAGCAGAAATCGTTCCACAGAGTTAAGCCTGATTTGCTACTTGTCTTGGGAGATATTTCGGCAAAGGGTTCACAGTTAACAAAAACTAAGTGGTTGTCTGTCTTCCATCAATTTCATTGGATGCTGGGACCTTTTCTTGGTCTTCCTTATCATGTTGTACTTGGGGATAGAGATTTTGGAGAATGCGGCGAGCTTGATGCAAAGTTTGTTAACTGGATAACTAGGAAGTTTCCTGGGTTGGACTCATCAGGTTGTGGTGCCTTTAAAATTAGTAATGTTAGCTTTGTTTCTCTTAATTCCGTGGCCCTGCTGTGTGGCAACAATGAACTACGGTTTAGTGCTGAGAAAGCCATAGAGAGTGAGAGTTTAGGTCTACAAATGAAAGCTAATGATGCATCCAAAACTAATGAAGATTCTAGCAAGTTGAGGACGAAGTCACATGACTTTGGGTGGAGAGAAAATGCTATTTCGTCTGGAGCAGGACCAGTCCTATTGCTTCACTTTCCTTTGCATCAAACAAGAAAAGGCAGTTATGGAGAAGGCAATGCTTTCAATGGAGCTCTTACTCCACCACATCAAAGCTCAAGGACACAGAGGATGTAAGCTAAAGTCTTACATCCATGCTGCATGTTTTATTTCTCATGGAAATTTCTCAGCAAATGTTTTCCCCTCTCCTTTGGCATTTTAGTTACATTTTGTTTCCAATTTCTCTCTTTCAGGGGGTTCAGTGATACCAGTCCATATGAGTTATCATGCACTGTCCCACCAAATGCCACTGAATATATTTTCCAAGCTCTTAGGCCAAGGTAACTCTGGTTTTGAATCCATATAGTCTTCTTCCTTGCATTTGTTTGAATATAAAAATTTGTGTTGATTGTAGGTGAATGTTGATTCAACATTTTTGGGGACAATGTATGGTCTAGTTTCATACTATCAATCTCCTGGATCTTCATGGTTGACTGTTTATATTTGTTGCATTCAACTTTGATACAGGAAGTTGTGACCCTTCAAACTCAATTAATAAGACAAATTTACCCTGCAAGGATTGGATTTTATGTCATAAGTCCTTTGAAGTTTCCTTCTACAGCATCTCTTGGTCTAAAAGGCAGGGATAAGTTAGGTTTATCAAAAATCTTTGCCATTGTTTGAAATTTTTTCCTTGCTCAGTTTCCCTCGTTTTTTCTGGATATGTTTGTAGTATGTTTTATAATTTGAAGAGATTTGTATGCCATGTTTCATTTTTTAGATAATTGTTTAGAGTTGGTGCATTAGTTCTGGAACCCTATGACTTTTTAGTTTGTACTTACACCTTAATATCTTCACTTGTCTCTATTATTCCACTAACTGATGTACTTCCCTTTTTCACTTTCTTGACAGGATAATTTTTAGCGCACATGCCTATGAATTTTATGACTACGTTCATTTTGATGGGACCCGTGAAATAACTGTTCCAGCCATGACATGGAAAGCAAGGGATGACCCTGGTTTTGTTGTTGCCACTTTCAGAAGAAACAGGAGCGTTGTAAGTGTCAGCTATTGCTCTCTTGCTCGAGAATCTCATGTACTATTAGCCTATAGCACTTTTTTGGTTATATTACTTATGATACCGCTTCTAGCAAGTACACCTAAATTTAGATCTTTAAGATGGTGATGGAGGAATACTTCACCAACATTTGTTGTGCATTAACTTTTTTGTCTTAATTTGGTAAACATCTAGAGTCAAGCTACAGGATGGGAAGAGGACGAAGGTCTTTGTCATTGCAAATTCTTTGTTCAGACCTTAGTCTGGCCTTTAAATGATTGGGTGATGCGACCTTATAAATTTTATTTTACTAATATAGTATTTCCTTCCATATTCTTTGACAAACTCTAGGGGTGCTATCTTAGAGGACTTGCACTGTTCACCCAAATTTTACTATGTTAGTGAAATGCTCAATACTGTACATTTTTTTCCCTGGTTTTTTCTCATAATATTACTGCAGATTCTAGAATTACACTTATTAGAATACTGAAAAATTGCTTTCTCTTTTTGCTTTGGGTATCTTTTAGTAATAATTCTTCAACTCTTTCTAATCCATTCTTTATCTCTTAGAATTTTTGCAAATGAATTGGTTATAAAGTTTGATGCTTCAATATGAGAAAATGGTTCTTCAAGGAGGTGAGTTAGAGATAGAAATCGATCTTAATTTGCTCAAGGCACAATTTAATTTGGCTTAGGTGACTGCAATTCATGTTTTGACAGCTAATCAGCTTAAGCATGACCATTATTCTTTGTCCTTGAGGATGCATCCTCATGTTTGTCTTTGATGTTGAAATTTAGGGAATGGGAAAAAGAAACGTTTTGGTAGAAAAAGTTGTATTAGAAGGAAAAGGAGAAATAATGGATGCCAAAAAGTAAAATAAAAACTAACTGGTAATTCAAGTATTCCTCTCGATTACAAAATCATGTAAATGATTCTCAAGATTTTCTCATGCACACCTGGGTTATCATCATCAGAGAAAATTTATGCTAGTGGAAGAATAGTTTTATTCTAGTGCAATCCTCCAATTCACTTGGAGAATTTGCAAAATGAAATCATTCAGTATTGGTAGAAAAGTAGAAGGATGATGCAATTGCATATTTGGTTGAAAAGTAGAAGGATTATTTATGGTAGAGGTTGTGTATTTGGATGTCCACCGGATGCCCAGTTTTTCTGATAGATAGGAGGTGGTGAAGGGTTCTTCTCATTTCTGATTCAGGCATTTTCTTCATTTTGGTTGTTGATCTCTTGCAATTTCAAATTTGATGGTTGGAGAATTAATAGAAAGGTGAGGGTTGACATATTTTCGAAGCCCTGTTGGTGCCAGGCGCTAGCTGAATCTACGTGTCATTGTTTTTGTCCCTGACACTTACAATGTCCTACTCAAGTCATATCCCTATGAAAGGGGTTATCTGTTGTATCCCAATCTCAATTATTTACAACCATAATTGAAGACCTTAGACATAAGAAGAAAACGAGTCCCACCATACCATGCAAGCTTTAAGGACATCAACTTTTTTATAGGAGAAGTTTTAAGTCCCTTGGCTGTATTTCCACCATGAACTAAGGTTACATCTCCATCTAATGCATAGACTGGCTTATATTTCAACAAGTGAAATGCACCTGACTCATTTTCCAAAACATGAAACTCTTAAAGTCCTTTCTTTCGTCTTCTTTTTCCTTCAGTACATGACCTGCTGTCATACCTGTCACGTTGAAATGTGAATCCACTCTGCTTGTTTTGGTGGAAAGTGATATGAGCTACTGGAAATTAGTTTAGATTAACCCACTTGTTTCCCCGTCATGTACAGTTGGGATAGAGGCTGATTGAATTATACATTTTCTAAATTGTTACTATGTCTTGATATATGGTGTTACAAGATACAAATGTATTTAGTCATTATTTTAAATAGGTATTTATTTAGTAGTGACAGAAAACATATTTTCTTTTTATGACCTACATATGGCTTGTAATAGGAGTAAAACTCCTGACCGCATGCTTTACAAAGGAGACGTCATACCACCAAAGCCATAAAGACTTGGGTGACAGAAAACAATGTTTGTTGAACGGATGCATATTGAATCGGTAAGCATGACATGCAGTCACATAGGCAGCCCGGAATAGTTGATGGTCATCAAGAGAGGGCAATATCCTTACACAAATTGAAGCTCTTTTTTTTGTAGAGAATTTTCAGGCTGTTTTTCTCCATTAGTTTGAGGTGTGCAGTTCTGAAGAGAAAAGGTATTTGAGGTTCAAAACATGAAAAAATGTCTACTAAGAATCAGAAGGAATTCTTCATTCAGAAGTCATCTTGATGCTTCTAGAGCTAATTAGAGTGTTATTTGAATTCTTTTATTTCATGGCTCTTCAAAACTTGTTTACATATTACAGTTCCCTGCATAAACATTAAACAGTCCCACATCATTCATTTTAATTAGAGGGAAAATTCCAATTTCTTTCTCAATTCATAGGGAGAAAAGGTTTTGAATGGCATTTTCTGAATGCGCATTCCAGTTTTCCTCTTCTTCAACAATGTAGGAATATGTCATAGCTAGTGAACTACATTTTATGAGGTGAAGATCCCAATTTCTCAACATTAGATAATGATGCTGATTGAGTACTCTGCATCTCCTATAGCCAAGAAATGCTTCCCTTTTTCAATCACCATCAAACCATTTTCATCAGCTCTGCTTAGGTGCTCACACGGGCTCACCTCAAATTCAACTTCAGCTTTCTCCCCTGCACTTAATATCAAGCTCTGGAAGCCAACGAGCTGTTTCATAGGCCTACCATTTTCAGGCAATTCATGCCTAGCAAACAGCAATGCTGGATGTTTACCTGCCATTTCCCCATTGTTTTCAACTTCAACATAAACTGATAACTTCCTTTTATTGCAGAGCTCTGCGCCCAGCTTTGAAACTGATACTCGATCCATGTCTGAATTTTCAGTTGCTTGCTTGCTTGAAGATTGGTTTAAGAAGAGACTGCTCTGAGTTCTCTTGAACTTGTATGAATACTTGGAGTAGCTAAGACCATAACCAAATTCAAAAACTTTTTGCCCTTTGTAAAATCTATATGTCCTTCCTGGATAACCAGAAGATAATTCAGGACGCATCCTCATGTCAGTCATTGGCACCTTGGCAAAACTTTGAGCATACCATGTCATTGTTAATCTCCCTCCTGCAAGTCAACAACAAATGGCTTACCAGTACATATACAAATTTTCTACCGAAAGGGGAATGTTTGTTTCTTTACATGCAAAGAAGCAGATTATTTTTGGTCTATGTTTCACATTAGCAATTAGCAAGTTCACCTGGGTTGTGATCACCAAATATGATTTCTGCAAGTGCAATCCCTCCGCTTTCACCAGGATAGCCAGCCCACAAAATGCTTCCAATTTTATTGTCATATTTGGCGAAGGATACATCAACAGGTCCTCCACAAATAAGCACCAAAGTAATTGGTTTATTTGCAGCTTTTGCAACACTGCCGATCAGTTCCTGTTGCCTTCCTGGGAGAACAAGGTCCAAGCGATCAAGCTCTCCC